ATTTTAACTATTTGTATTGTGTTCTATGTTTCCCCTTTCCCCTTTTGAATTGTTCGCCGCCCTGAGTCCCTCCCGGAAAAGGGCGGCATATAAATAAAACAAATCTAATCTAATCTAATCTAACATCAATGTACAGCAATTCACATTTCATGGAGCTATTCAAATTATTCTAACTCTCTAGATTAATTACGGTTGTGGCTTTGTCCCAAATAACTTTACAACCTGTTTGTAAACATGTAAAATAGACATCTGAATCAGAAAGTTTAACATCTTTACATGATATAAATTCCCAGCATTCTTTGGATGAACATATGTACAGGTAGTCCTTGACTTATGACTAGTGCCTTAGCAACCCTTTGATGTTACAACTGACCTGAAAAAGAGGACTTATGACCTGGATCTGAAGTTCTGATGGTACCTGCTCCCCCAGTCGTGTGACCGTACTTTGGCTACTGAGCAACATGTCTGCATCTATGCCTGCTTGCAGTGTCATGTGGCCTTTTTCACACTGGCTTTGCAGAAAACCAGCATTGCTTTTTCACAAAAACATGTCAAAGTAAACAATGAGTTCGCTTCATGACTGAAGGGCTTGCTACATGATCCATTTTATGACTGTCATGACCACGATGGTCATGATAGTCATACTTGAAGACCACCTGTAAGTAAAATCGGTTTAAAGTGAGGTGGTGCAGTGGCTAGAGTGCAGTAGTGCAGCTGACTGCTACCTGCAGTTCAGCAGTTCAAATCCCACCAGGATCAAGGTTGACTCAGCCTTCTATCCTTCCGTGGTGGGTAAAATGAGGACCCAGATTGTTGGGGGCAATAGGCTGACTCTGTAAACCACTTAGAGAGGGCTATAAAAGCACTGTGAAGTGGCATATAAGTCTAAGTGTTATTGCTATTAAATATGGTTTAGGCTTCAAATCAGACAAGGAAACCACTACAGGACGGGCTTGGCTACTGAATCACATAACATAAGCTTCTTATGATTTCCAAGAGAATGGAAAACTATAAATCACAGCCTGCAATTAAGAATTTATCTTGTATTATCTAGATTTTCCAGAGCCATGCATTCAATCTTAACATGCTTTTATTCTAAACTATTTTAACTGGCCACAATAAATTTGTGCATATTTGGTTATTGATTCCAACCCAAGTTCATGCTATTCAAATAATCCAAAACAAATACTTTCTTACAGATGCAAGTGCTTTCCCCAGCGCATCGCCTGTCTGTGAACTTCCTGCAGCTCCGCTTCCTCTGTTTGCTGAAAAACAAGCCCAAAAACAAAAAAAAACAAACAAAAAAAAACACATGAAGACCAGAAAATAAATNAAAATAATAAGACCTCCCTGAAAATAAGACAGTGACTTATTTTCTTTTGACCCTCGAAATAAGCACTTGGCCTTATTTTCAGGGAGGTCTTATTATTTTTGAAGTGCAGAGGTGGCGAGCATGGTCACCTCATGGCTGCTGCTGTGATGCAATATTTTTGAGGTGGTCTTATTTTAGAGGGAGGGCTTATTTTAGCACATGCACTCAAAAGCCCAATTGGGCTTATTATCCAGGGAGGTCTTATTATTTTTGAAGTGCAGAGGTGGCGAGCATGGTCACCTCATGGCTGCTGCTGTGATGCAATATTTTTGAGGTGGTCTTATTTTAGAGGGAGGGCTTATTTTAGCACATGCACTCAAAAGCCCAATTGGGCTTATTATCCAGGGAGGTCTTATTTTCAGGGAAACAGGGTAGTTTGCCATAGCCTGCTTTTTACTGCTGAGAGAGAGTGACTGGCCTAAGGTCACTCAATTGGTTTTCAATCCTCAGGTGGGACTAGAACTCACAGTCTTCTGGCTTCTAGCCTGGTGCTTGCACTACTACACCAAACTGACTCTGTAACTGAGGACTCTGATTATTGAAAATAGGAGCAATTGTTCTCTTGTCCTATTTAGAGATGGGTATGGATTTGTACGCTGTAGGTTGGTTTTTGTGTTGCACATGTTGAAAAGAATACCTTTGGACACTGAAATGCAAACAATCTATTCCACTACCTTAGTTTTTTCAGCAGGTTACATTGATATTAGCCTCATCAATTTGTCTTCAGAAAAGGAATGTTTTGTTATTAGTTTTTTCACAGTAAGCAATTCTGTCTAAAGCAGAGGGAACCTTCTAAGCCATAAAAATATTTGTCTTTTTTTCACCCAAGACTCTGCACAAAATTAACAGTTTGAAAGTTTTTTTTTAAACAAAGTAATAGCAATATTACTAGTAGCTGCCTCTCTAAATTCTAGTATTAAAAAATCTAAAATTAAAAATTCTTCAATTTCACTTGGTGAAAATAAACACCAACAGCAGGAATGTTCCAACTAGTAACTGCAGTCAGACAATACAGTTAGCTAAGAACAAATAATTGAATGGAGATGTGCATCCATGCCATGAGGGCGGAGGGGTTGGCAAGTACATTCACAACTAAATTGTGGCAATGTTGTCCAATGCAACATAAAACCAAATTCAGTCTGTGTTTAATTGTTTGATCAATAAACAAGGACACAAAGCTAATCTTGAAACCAGAGCAATTAGATTTAATCCCAGTTCAGATCCAGCAAGAAATTATGCTTAACACAAAAACAGAATTGAAAGAGACCCTGAAGCTCTTCTAGTCCAGCCCCCTGCTCAGGCAGGCAACCCTATAATATTTCAGACAAATGATTGTCCAATCTCTTCTTAAAAACTTCCAGTGTTCGAACATTAACAACTTCTGGAGGCGGGTTGTTTCATTGATTAATTGTTCTAACCAGGGGTGGGTTTCTCGCCCCATTCCAACCAGTTCGGTTGGAACGGGGCCGGCGGCGTCCTCGTGCACGCGCGCAGTGCACACATGTGTACTAGCGTCTGTGCGATGCTCCAGCTGCTCCTGGAGGATCGTGCAG